CGAGGACGAGCAGGAGCAGGGACGAGGAGCAGGAGGAGCAGGAGAAGAAGGACGAAGAGGAGGAGGAGGAGGACGAGCAGGAGTGAAGGAGGACGACCAGGAGGAGGAGGGACGACCAGGAAGAGGAGGAGGAGGAGGAGGAGGAGGGGAGGAGGAGGAGTACCAGAGGAGGAGGAGGAGGAGGAGGAGGAGGAGGAGGAGGAGGGAGAAGAGGAGAGGAGGGGGCGGAGGACGAGGACGAGGAGGAGGAGGAGGAGGGGGGGGAGAGTACCAGGAGAGGGGAACGAGGACCAACCAGGAGGAGGAGGAGGAGGAGGAGGAGGAGGAGGAGGAGGAGGAGGAGGAGGAGGAGAAGGAGAACACCAGAGGATGAGGACGAGCAAGACGAGGAGGACGAGAACGAGGACGACCAGGAAGAGGAGGAGGAAGGAGGAGGAGAGGAGGAGGAGGAGGAGGAGGGGGAGGAGGAGGAGGAGGAGAGAGGAGGAGGAGGAGGAGGAGGAGGAGGAGGAGGAGGAGGACGAGGAGGAGGAGGGGGGGGAGAGCACCAGGAGGAGGAGAACGAGGACCACCAGGAGGAGGAGGAGGAGGAGGAGGAGGAGGAGGAGGAGGAGGAGAGAGCACCAGGAGGAGGAGGACGAGCAAGACGAGGAGGACGAGAACGAGGACGAGCAGGAGGAAGAGGAGGAGGAGGAGGAGGAGGAGCAGGAGAAAGATGAGGAGGAGGAGGAGGAGGCAGGCTGAGGCTGAGGCTGTGACTGCGACTGCCGTTGCCGCTGCGACTGTCATCGCGAATGCGACTACGACTGCGAGAACAGCAGAATTCGACAACTGGATTTTCATCTGAATCTTAAGGGGAATGCTTTCAGATATGTTTCTACACATCGCTGTTAGGTTGCTTTGCCGGGATAATTGGTTTCCTGCTGACCCGGGTCTGGATTGACCCGGGTCAGAAGATCCCCGAGTTACTGCTTCGCCGTGGGCCCGGGGCCATTGTGGCGCCGCCGAGGAGGAGGAAGATGAGGATGGGGAAGGGGAGGGGAGGAGGAGGAGAGGATGAGAAGGAGAGGAGGAGGAGGAAGCCTCTCGTTGGCATCTTGTGTTGCTCTTGGGGCCAAACCGGGTCGTCGTCAAGATGCTTCTGTGGGAGTCCTCTTGGGGTCTTTTGAGAAGCCGTTCGGGGGCGCCTGGGAGGCATTTTTGAACTTCTGTGGCCTCTTGGGGCCTCTGTTGGGCCTCCTGGGGGCCTCCTGGGGCCTCTTGGGGGCCTCTTGGCGGCATCTTGGGGCCTCTTGGGGGCCTCTTGGGGGCCTCTCGGGGCCTCCCGGGGCCCTCTTGGGGCGGAAGGCTCGAGTTTTCGGTTCGTGGTCCCCCTCTTGGGGCCGTCTTGGGGCCGTCTTTGGCCGTCTTGGGCGCCTCTTGGGCCCTCTCGGGGCCCTCTTGGGCCCTCTTGGGGCTCTCTTGGAAGCCTCGTGGCCCATCTTGGGGCGCTCTTGGGAGCTTCTTGGGCCGTCTTGGAGCATCGGATGGCCGAAAAGGCGACAAGGCCAACATCATTCCAAAACCATAGTAAAATTTAGGCTTTTGGCATTTCGGGCCCTCTTGTGAGGCCTCTTGGAGGCCACTTGGAGGCCTCTTGGGCCGTCTTCGGGTCATCATCGGCGTCTTGGAGCGCTCTTTGAGCGTCTCGGGGGCCTCTTGGAACTTCTGGGGGACCTCTTGGGGACCTCTTGGACAGATTCGGAGTCCTCTGGGGCTCCGAAAAAGAGTTCTGGCATCCTTGAACAGGACTTGACGGGAGTCTGCCGGGTACATTTCGTCCGGGGACCCCCAGGACCCGCCCCGCGCGCGCGAACTAGAAAGATTGTTTACCAGCTACCGGAGGTCTTAGCACGCCTCTGGCCCGTTGGGCCGGCGAATTTGTCCATATGTTGATGTATGTACACTGTTGGCATTTCCATATCTCTCCCCTCGTTTCGGCCCTTACCCCGTCACTCTGGTTTCCAGTGTTAGCCCCCTCTGCCCTTTCCTCGACCTTGTCTTTTAATTTTGACAAAAACCGTGGCCGTCAGATGCTGGCTCCACTTGCAGAGTGCGTTAACTGCTCACTCTTTCGCGATGCTACGCTTGCGTCTCGCCTACGTACCCTCTGCGTAGCCCTCCTGATCCTGACCTTCATTCCCCAGCATACCCTCATCCCCTCGCCTCCCCTCGGCATCTCCTGTCCTCTCCGCCCCTTCCCACCTCACCCCGTGCCGCTTTGCCCCTGATTCCCCAGCCCGCCCCCCAATTCCATGCCCCATGCTGTGCAGCCCCACGCCTCCCCGTCCTCCGCTCCCAGAGGCCGCTGCCAACGCGGGACGCCAGAACTCCAGCGCCCCCCAGGCCGCTGCGCATGCTGGGCCCAAGGCGCCGGCTCTCGCCCTCACCCGCACGAGTGCGCAGACCCAGTTTGGACCCCGCGCCTGCTTCTCTAAGCGAAGTCACTTTTCGGCGCGACCGTTCCTTATTCAGCGAGCGAAGAACGGTACAAAATACACTTTTTCGCTGTCGGGGGCGCCTGTCCCTGGGCGGCTGGAAAGTTTATACCCCTACGGTGCCATCGGAAGGGTATAACTTTCCAGTCGCCCAGGGACAGGCGCCCCCGACAGCGAAAAAGTTGTTTTATACCGTTCTTCGCCCGTTAACTTATACCCCCGTGCGCTGATGTCGCACACTGGGTGCCTCCAGCGAGCCCCGTCCGAGCCACGTGTTACGCGTGCCTCCGCAGCCTCCAGGGGCCTCTGGGGAGTCTCTCGGGGGCGTCGGGGCCCATCAAAAGGGATTCGACGAATTCCTTGGCTTTCCGCATGCTGTTGTGCATTATCTTCTGAGGCCCCGACGGGGGCAACTGGTAAGGCCCAGATGCCCCCTGGTGCTTGCCCGGTCGTGTTCAAACCCAGTACATGGTTGTGGAAATAATGGGTATGAAGGCCAACAGCAGTTCCTACCCATTTTAGTCAGGATTCGTTGTTGGTGTCGGCGCGGACGTGGTCCATTTGAGACATCAGGCCGCCTGCCCAACAGCGGCCGCTGCCGGTTTTGGGCAACATTTGTAGTTGGGCATCGTATCCATTTTTGTCCGTACAGATTCCGGACGTACCACCACAGGGCCCGCAGGAATCGACATGTAGCCTCCAGGAGCCGCCACGCCTCCAGAGTTCTGCGGAGAGCCTCCAGGAGCATCCAGTTGGTTTCAGGGCTCATGACCTGAATATGTGAAAGAGCGTGTTCTACCGCTGCTGGCGGAAAACCGGGGGGGGTCACTACCGGTTCGAACCCCTCCCCCCCCCCCCCCCTCCGGAAAACCGGGGGGGGTCACTACCGGTTCGAACCCCTCCCCCCCCCCCTCCCAGCTCATTATGAAAGGGGGGGGGTGTCACTACCGGTTCGAACCCCCCCCCCCCCCCCCCCCCCCCATCCGGAAAACCGGGGGGGGTCACTACCGGTTCGAACCCCCCCCCCCCTCGAAAACCGAGTGGGGGTGCGGACAGTGGTGGGGACGGTGTTGGTGGGGACAGTGGTGAGGGGATAGCGGGACAGTGGTGGGGACAGTGGGACAGTGGGACAGTGGTGGGGACGGTAGTGGTGGGGACAGTGGTGGGGTGGTGGGGACAATGGTGGGAACAGGGGGGGACAGTGGACAGTGGTGGTGACGGTGGTGGTGGGGACAGTGGTGTGGGGACAATGGGAATGAGGTGGAAACAGTGGGACAGTGGAGGGTACAATGGTGGTGGGGACAGTGGTGAAGGCGGTGGCGAGGACGGCGGTGGGACAATGGTACAGTGGGGACAGTGGTGGGGACAGTGGGGACAGTGGTGGGAACAGTGGGACAGCTCAGTGGGACAGCGGAGGAGTCAGTGGGACAGTGGGGACAGTGGGGATAGTCGGGCAGTGGTTGGGGCCGTGGAGACAGTGGGAGAGTGGAACCGTGGTGGGAACAGTTCTGGGGACAGCGGGGACAGTGCGACAGTGGTGGGGCCACTGGTGGGGACAGTAGGGGCGGTGGTGGAACCAGTGGGGACAGCGGTGGTGAGGACAGTGGTGCTGGGAACACCAGTGGGGGATGTGATGCGGACGGTGGTGGGGACCGGGAGTCGTTTGCTGGCGGTGAGTAGGGGGGGGGGGGGGGGTTCGAACCGGTAGTGACCCCCCCCGGTTTTCCGGATCCGGAGGGGGGGGGGGGGGGGGAGGGGTTCGAAACCGGGTAGTGGACCCCCCCGGTTTCGAGCGGGAGGGGGGGGGGGGGGGGGGGGGGGTTAGGGGAGGGGGGTTTTGCGGGGGAGGGGGGGGGGGGGGGGGGGGGGGAGGGGTTCCAGCAGGGGGGGGGGATTTTCGGAGGGGGGGGGGGGGGGGCGACCCTGGGTTCCAGAGGAAAAGGTTGGCAATTTTCCACAGTAAAGCGGCGGTGGATCACGCTCTCTCGAATATGTAGAGACATGGTCAGCGCAAGGAGGAGCAGTACGGGTCTCCGCTATTCCGCTCAGTATTGTCATCCTGCCCTTGCGTTGCTGGCGCATGGGGTACGAGGAGGCAGACTAGAGGTGAGGATCAAGAGGAGGCGGAGGAGGAGGAGGAGGACGAGGAGGCGGTGCTACTGCTGCCGCTGCCGCTGCGGTCCGTCTCTCTCGTCTCTGACCCTTGCTCATCTTTCACCGTTGTATGGGTTTCGATACCCCGCCATCATCGAAAGAATGAGCAGGAGGAGACGGAGGAGGAGGAGGAGGAGGAGGAGGAGGAGGACGAGGAGGAGGAGAAGGAGGCGGGGGAGGAATGCCATGCTTGCAATCCTCCCACGGAGTGCCAGACTAGCACTCCGTCTGCTGGCACTGCCAGCAGTCGGAGGCAGAGTGATAGCGCGACGCGTGAGTGCCGCCTCCAGGTTATCGATTTCCGCAACGGCAACGAGGATGATTCGCAGCTGGCTGCTGGCAGTGAGCCCGAGGCTGACAAGAATGGCACGTTCAACGCCACGAACGCCACTGCCGAGGCTGACAACACCACGAACGCCACTGCAGAGGCTTACCGCGGCAGGGGGTGAAGTTGGAAGGGTGGGGGTCAGCGAGGAGATGGAGGCAGCGAGTGAGGCATGCACAGGGGGCATGCGAGGGATTCATGAGAGAAAAAAAGGTATGATGAGGGAAGGATGGCCATCGTTTGTCTCGAGGGTGCTAGTACAACTCTTGGTTGCGGTTGTGCGAAGTGTGTTGTTGGCCGATTTGCTGAGGACAGGGCCGACGAGCATAAACGAAGACCGACAGCAGTTCCTGCTAACTTTTGGTCAGGATTCGTTGTTGGGGTCGGCGCGGACGTGGTCCATTTGAGACATCAGGCCGCCTGCCCAACAGCGGCCGCTGCCGGTTTTGGGCAACATTTGTAGTTGGGCATCGTATCCGTTTTTGTCCGTACAGATTCCGGACGTACCAGCAAAGGGCCCGCAGGAATCGACATGAAGCCTCCAGGAGCCGCCACGCCTCCAGAGTTCTGCGGAGAGCCTCCAGGAGCATCCAGTTGGTTTCAGGGCTCATGACCTGAATCTGTGGAGACATGGTCAGCGCAAGGAGGAGCAGTACGGGTCTCCGCTATTCCGCTCAGTATTGTCATCCTGCCCTTGCGTTGCTGGCGCATGGGGTACGAGGAGGCAGACTAGAGATGAGGATCAAGAGGAGGCGGAGGAGGAGGAGGAGGTGGACGAGGAGGCGGTGCTACTGCTGCCGCTGCCGCTGCGGTCCGTCTCTCTCGTCTCTGACCCTTGCTCATCTTTCACCACTGTATGGGTTTCACTATCCCGCCGTCATCGAACGAATGAGCAGAAGGATGCGGAGGAGGAGAAGGAGGAGGAGGCGGGGGAGGAGTGCCAGGCTGGCCGTCCTCCCACGGAGTGCCAGACTAGCACTCCGTCTGCTCGCACTGCCAGCAGCCGGAGGCAGAGTGATAGCGCGACGCGTGAGTGCCGCCTCCTGGTTATTGATTTCTGCAACGGCAACGAGGATGATGGTTGCTGGCAGTGAGCCCGAGGCTGACAAGAATGGCACGTTCAACGCCACGAACGCCACTGCCGAGGCTGACAACACCACGAACGCCACTGCAGAGGCTTACCGCGGCAGGGGGTGAAGTTGCAGGGGTGGGGGTCAGCGAAGAGATGGAGGCAGCGAGTGAGGCATGCACAGGGGGCATGCGAGGGATTCATGAGAGAAAAAAGGTATGATGAGGGAAGGATGGCCATCGTTTGTCTCGAGGGTGCTAGTACAACTCTTGGTTGCGGTTGTGCGAAGTGTGTTGTTGGCCGATTTGCTGAGGACAGGGCCGACGAGCATAAACGAAGACCGACAGCAGTTCCTGCTAACTTTTGGTCAGGATTCGTTGTTGGGGTCGGCGCGGACGTGGTCCATTTGAGACATCAGGCCGCCTGCCCAACAGCGGCCGCTGCCGGTTTTGGGCAACATTTGTAGTTGGGCATCGTATCCGTTTTTGTCCGTACAGATTCCGGACGTACCAGCAAAGGGCCCGCAGGAATCGACATGAAGCCTCCAGGAGCCACCTCGCCTCCAGAGTTCTGCGGAGAGCCTCCAGGAGCATCCAGTTGGTTTCAGGGCTCATGACCTGAATCTGTGGAGACATGGTCAGCGCAAGGAGGAGCAGTACGGGTCTCCGCTATTCCGCTCAGTATTGTCATCCTGCCCTTGCGTTGCTGGCGCATGGGGTACGAGGAGGCAGACTAGAGATGAGGATCAAGAGGAGGCGGAGGAGGAGGAGGAGGACGAGGAGGAGGAGGGGGAGGAGGAGGTGGTGCTACTGCCTGCTGCCGCTGCCGCTGCGGTCCGTCTCTTTCGTCTCTGATCCTTGCTCGTCTTTCACCACTGTATGGGTTTCACTATCCCGCCGTCATCGAACGAATGAGCAGAAGGATGCGGAGGAGGAGAAGGAGGAGGAGGCGGGGGAGGAGTGCCAGGCTGGCCGTCCTCCCACGGAGTGCCAGACTAGCACTCCGTCTGCTCGCACTGCCAGCAGCCGGAGGCAGAGTGATGGCGCGACGCGTGAGTGCCGCCTCCTGGTTATTGATTTCTGCAACGGCAACGAGGATGATGGTTGCTGGCAGTGAGCCCGAGGCTGACAAGAATGGCACGTTCAACGCCACGAACGCCACTGCAGAGGCTGAGAACACCACGAACGCCACTGCAGAGGCTTACCGCGGCAGGGGGGGACGTTGCAGGGGTTGGGGGCAGCGAGGAGATGGAGGCAGCGAGTGAGGCATGCACAGGGAGCATGCGAGGGTTTTATGAGGGAGCATTGGAATCATGAGGGAAGGACGGCCATCGTTTGTCTCGAGGGTGCTAGTACAACTCTTGCTTGGGAGCGGAAGGCACTTTGCTGGGTTTGTATCAAGTGCGGTGTTGACAGATGAGGCGAGAGGAAAAAGTGTTTAACAGAGGAAGTCGAACAGCGACACGCAAATCAAGTTGCGGGAAGCATCATCAACACAGGCGGAGTAGTACAGAGTGCGGATTGCGACAAGGAGAGAGTGATTCGCATCGTGCCGATGGGGTTAGCCCAGACATCGGGTAGTACACGTCTAGTAACGAAGCGCCGGGTTCAGGTTGTGCAGCAACACGTCCGGAAGACATGAGGTAACGTCTCAGTTCTTTCTACTCCGCAAAGTGCACGCCCGAACATGCGATCCGATGGCTTCTCCTCGTCCTCCCTCCTCCTTCCGCCTCCTCGCCCTCGCTCGCTCGCTCGCGACCCTAGAGGCTAGAGCTCGAAGCCTAAACTCAGGAATAGCACTAGAGATAGGAGAAGCACGGCCAGAGTCCTCGGCCTCGACCTCCAAGTGCATGCATCACGCGATGTGGAGGAGGAGGAGGAGGAGGATGAGGAGGAGGAGGATCAGAGGCACGCAATGGAGGCCGCCAGGGGTGCCGCTGGTCCAGGGACTAGGCTCGGGGAGGACCAAGCTCCAGACGTCCGCGAGCCCCTCCAGAGCCAATCCCACAGCTCCTCCTCCTCCTCCTCCTCCTCCTTCTCACTTTCCTCCTCCTCATGTTCCTCCCCCTCCTCCTCCTCCTCCTCCTCCTCCTCCTCCTCCTCCTTCCTCCTCCTCTCATTTTCCTCCTCCTCCTCCTCCTCCTCCTCCTCCTCCTCCTCCCTCCTCCTCCCTCCTCCTCCTCCTCCTCCTCCTCCTCCTCCTCCTCCTCCTCCTCCTCCTCCTCCTCCTCCTCGGTCCCGGGCTTCTGAGAGTATAGCCCTGGGCGGAGAGAGGTTTCAAAATGGTGGACTAGACGATGTTGAACATGATTTTGAACAGTATCTGGGAAGGGGGGATTTCTTTAGCACTAGACGGACTACGTTGACTGCGAACAATGGTTGTGGCAAGGCGTACTCCGATCCCGTGTTGTGTTTCTGGTCGCACCTCTCTCAGAAGCTATTTGAACTTCGAGTGGCCCTTGAACATGGGCACATCAAGATGTCTCGGGATCTGGCTCGGCGAGTTTCCTATCTTGGCAGATATGTTGACCAGTACTCGTCTTGCCTGCCTCCGACGCAGACCTCACAGGCGTGGCAGGCTCAGCTTGCCCAGATGGAGTCTGGTAGCTCTGCGCTCACTCAGCACCGATCTTTGCGATTTCCTGGTCTTTGAGTGCTCTGCTGCGCTCGCGAAGGCCTGGTCTGATGCTCGGTCATGTTCTGCTAAGGCGGTTAAGGATTGGCTTATCAAAGCCTTGCCGCGGGGGGCGAAGAAAGCTCACGCGTGGCTTAAAAGGGATGAGAGGGGGACCCCCTGGAGTTTTTTAGGACCCCTGAGCGGGTCCTGCAGCTGCCTGCTGAAATGATGGCCTATCGTGCCCAACTCTGGGGGCGCTTTTGGACTGCCGGCCCCGATCGGAACGTTGAGCTGGGAGATGCCCTGAGCGAGCTGCGCAGGCGTGCCGTTGAAGTGCAACCTGAACTTCCTGACATCGAGTGTCGGGACGTCTACGTTGCCAGTAGGCTTTTTTCTGAAGACACTGCCGTGGGGGTGGATCATTGGGAACCTCGGGAGTTCATGAACGTCCAGCCTGACGCTCTCGAACCTCTCGTCCAGCTTTACCGGGGGTGTGAGGAGGCCCTGATGTGGCCCGAGCAGGTCCTCCTTAGCGTGATTGCCCTCCTCCCCAAAAGCAAGGTTGACGAGAGGCCTGTGTGTAAATGCCCCACCCTCTATCGGGTGTATACGAAAATCCGAGGGTCCTTTTTGGATGACTGGAGTCGGGACCATGTTGCTTTCTGGGACACTGCGATTCGAGGTAGCTCTGCGTTGCAGGCAGCCTTGCGGCGGGAGCTGTCCCACGAGCTCGCCGCTTTCGAGGGCCTGGTCTCGGTCGCTGTGCATTGGGACTTGCGCAAGTTTTTCGACACAGTTTCGCCCGTCCTGTTGATCAGGCTGGGCTGTAAGTTGCAGTTCCCTCCCCATCTTATGTATATGGGATTGCTCATCCACCTCTCGCCGAGGGTGTTGGAGACGGTGGGGTTCTGCTCAGAACTTATCGAGTCTGGGGTCGGGGTCCTTCCTGGATGTGCACAGAGTATGCCATGGACTAAAGCGTACTTGTACCAGATGCTTGATGATATCCATCGCCGGTTTTTCCCCGTTGTCGTGACCCAGGGGTATGTTGATGATCTCTCTCAGAATGCGCAGGGCAGCGCCGACGATGTGGTCAGCGCTGTTGTACCGGCGGCTCTTCACCTGGCGCGCGGCGTCGACAGGTTGCGCCTGACTATGTCAGACAAGTCGACGATAGTCAGTAGCAAGCGGTCCGTTAGCTTTCGCATTGCTCGCCAACTTCGGGCCGCTGGAGTGGCCCTTCGTGTGCAGGATACTGTTCGCGACCTTGGGGTTGCGACTACTGCTGGAAAGGCTAGATGCAGTACTATCCTCAAGGTGAGACGGGCCAAAGCCCAGCGGAAAGCCAAGGAAATCAAGTATTTGACTGGCATTTGCAAAGGAGCCTCTAAACTGTATAAGCCTGGTGTGCTTTCTGCTTCCTCCTGGGGGCACAATGTTCTGGGGCTATCACCTCACCAGGTTCGTTCGGTTCGAGCCCAGGCCGCGAAGTGTTCGGGATGGTGGAGCCCAGGGTCGTGCACGACTACGTTGTTGTCTATCCTGAAGGCTGAGTCTTCTGATCCTGCTTACCGTCTGCGGCGTGAGCAACTTCTGGGATTTCATCAGTTGTGGTTGGGTTTGGACCCAAGGGCCAAAATGCGTATATCTCGGTTGTGGGAAGCTCGAGCTGATGAATATGCCTGTCTGCCACCAGGGCGTATCTGGCGCCGCGTCCGAGGTCCGGTGGCAGCCACGGTCGCAGTCCTCATCGATTTGGAGTGGCAGCCCGTGTCCCCAATTGTTTGGATTGTTCCTGGAGGCGGCTCCCTGCATGTTGATGCTCCTGATTTTCCCGTTCGGCTGTGGGAGCAGCTGAAGAAGACCATCCATGGCGAGGTCTGGAGTACGGTTGCTAAGCACTACTTGGGGGAAGGAGTCCAAGATGGGGTTGATTTTACTTGTGTACACTCGTTGTTGGCCGCTATGTCTAAGGACTTGGATTATGAAGGCCAGGGTATCTTGAGGAATACTCTGGTCGGCGGTTTCTGGACTGAAAGCCGGTTGCATGAGAGCGGGTTCGACACCGAGTCTCATGGGTATTGTCGACGCTGTGGGCTTGAACCTGAAACTCCCCTTCATCGGTTCTGGAAGTGTGAGTGCAACGATCGTATTCCCTCGCCTGCCGTGGAGCGGACTCAACCTCTGTGTGCTCGTGCACTGGAAGAGGCTCCTGATTGCCCTGCTCTGTGGTGCCGCGGGCTCATGCCCAAATCGCGCTCGATTGGCCATCTTCCGCCGTCTGCCGATCTGATCTGGTACGGGGGAGCCCTCGAGGAGGGCCAGAGTGTGCCGGGTGGAGTCTGGGGGATCGACGGGTCGGGAGGGAAGCTTACTAAGGATTGGAGGCTAAGGCGTTGCGGTTGGGCGTGTGCCCGCTTAGGTTCGTCTCTTGCAGATGTTGATGGTTTCCTCGCTGGTACTCTTCCTGGTGAGTCCCAGAGTTCCCCGAGGGCCGAGCTTTTGGCGCTCATCATGGTGTTGAAGCACACCTACAGCAGAGTGTTAATTTTCTCGGACTACCTGCCCGTGGTGCGAGGTTTTCGGAAGCCTCGGGAGTTGTTGCAAACATCGGATATGCTTGATTTGTGGGTGGAGCTTTGGAGAGTTCTTGATGCGAGGGAAGGCGAGATCGACCTGAGGTGGACGAAATCGCATCCTACTGCCTTTCAAGTTCCACAGCATGGCCTCACTCGTATTGAACGCATGCTGAATGCAGCTGCCGCCGGTCTGGCGGCCGAGGCCGCCCAGAGAGGAGCAATTCCATCTGAGCTCGTGGATCGCACCCACCAAGAGGACACACTCCATCGTGATATGTTGTGCAGGATGCTCGCTGTGCAGCGCGATGTGTACATGACGTGTGCACGTGAGCGCGTGCGTGTTGGGCAGGAGCATGTTCGCACGCGGGGGCCTGCGACTAGCCTGCGCACGCGTGTGGCGCGTGTGCGCGAGCAGCAGCACAGCCCTGTGGTGCTTAAGACCTTAATTAAGTGTAGCATCTGTTCTGCTAGGTTTAGCCTCCGAGGATCTCTCTCGTTGTTCAGGCCAGGTCAGTGTCCGGGCTCTCGGTTTGGGCACCTTGCTGAGCCTGATGGTGAAGGCCGTGTGCGGCTGGGGGAGGGGAGGGATTTTTGCGACCCGTCCTCTCACCCCCTCGCCCCTGTCTGCCATGCCTCCCATCGGCTGCGTATTTTGAACGGCGTTCTCTTTTGCAGAGTGTGTGGCGCGCTCGGGGTCACCAGCCCCCGGAACTTGAAGGGACTCTGCCCTCCCACTGGCCCCACCCCCAAAGGGAGGGAGGCCCTTGGGAGGCTCAGTCGTGGGCTTCCCCCAAAGTCTGGGATGAGCTTCCCACGTGATTGATTGTGATGTCGTGCGGCCAGGCTTGCACTTGGGTTCCGCCACCTCTGCTTAATGCTTAATGCTCCTCCTCCTCCTCCTCCTCCTCGCACCTCCCCTTCCTGAGCAGACTGGGCCTCCTCGGGGGGGAGCGGGGGAGCCTCGGAGGTGGGCGCCCGGCTCTGGGATGCGGAGCCCCGGGGTCGGCCTCGGAGGGCCCTTCGGACGGCTTCGGGAGGGCTCCACGGGCTGCCCTTCGGACGCCCGTCGGGGGCGGCCAAAGAGTCAGGAGGGGGAAAAAACACACAGACACAACTCATCGTCGATGCCCAGGAAAGTATGGGGGGGGGGACAAAGACCCAGAACATGTGGGAACATATGGGGAATGGTTTGATTTGTGTATGCCTTTTTTGTGTGTTCTGGGGCCCAATTTCAAGAGGGGTGTGATGGCATGGCCAGGGCCATGAGATCTCCCAGATCTCCTGGCCCCATCTCGCTGTGCAGGCCCCGCGGTCGGTGCCGCCGACCCCTGCGTAAGAGGGAGAGCCCGAGGCGTGTGGGAGACAAGGGATCGAAGGGGAGAGCTTCTCCCAGGGAGGGGTGCTCCTCCACGGGGGGGGGGGGGGTCACAGCCCCCTGGGACCCCCCCCCCCAGATCCCCCCCCCCCTTCCCCCAGCGGGGAAGGAGTCGAAGGGAAGGTTTTTTTCTTCGACTGGATGACGATGTTGCCGATTTCTGTTTGGCTGGGAGCTTTGACGAGTAGGGCCCACGGACAGGGACAGGGGGAGCGGCGACGGCGACGACGACGACGACGACGACGAGGACGACGACTCAAACGGAAGGCCTCACACACGCCGACAGGGTCGGCGGCTTTCAATACGTTCCCTTCCCCCCCCCTCGTCGGCGCGCATGCCTCGGGCCATGAGTTGCGAGAACCCCCCTCGTCGTGCGCCCCAGACTCCAGAGGGCTCCACGGGCTGCCCGTCCGTCGCTCCCGAAGTGTCTGCCATGATCGTGGAGGAGGGCCCAGGGAGGCGCGAAGGTGGCCCACCACTGCGGGAGGAGGGCCAATCAGATAAGGCAATCGGGGCAGGGCCAACAAGGGATTCCAATGCCTTGGGTCCTTCCTGGAAGCCCCGACTTTGGTGTCCAAGGTGGCCTCAGAGAGAACCTCGTCGAAGCGGATCCCCACCCAAACCGGCCCGTGACTCTTCAGGGCCACGAGTTCGGCCTCCAGGGCCACGAGTTCGGCATAGCCCCCACCCAAAACGGGCCCCTGGACGGTCCTTGCGGGGTTACGAGCTGGGCATCCGGTGCCGGAAGCGGGCCCAGGTGGACCGCCACGGTGCCATCGGGCCCTGCGACGGCCCGCGGTGGTTCCCACGAGTCCGCCCCGACGGCCCCCGAGACTCCGCAGAGAGACTGCGCAGAGCACCCCCGAGAGACACCAAGACGGCCCCACGAGCTCGCGGAAAGCACCGAGCAGGGCCCCGTGCCGACCCCATGCGGGGCCCCAAGGCGGCCCCACGCCAGCACCAAGCAGGGCCTCGAGGAGGCGGTTGGGGCTTGCCGTTCTCTCCAATCCCTCCCTCGAGCCCGAGGGGGGGAGCGGGCACGACACTGGGGGAGCGGAGTCGCAGGGAGATGAGGGGAGGGGAGGAATGAGCAGGGCAGGGGGAGGGACAGGAGAGGAGGGAATAGAAGACAATGGGGGAGGAAGCAGGGTTTGGATTGGTGGCGACTATGACGAAGAGAGGGAGGAGAGGATGGATGATGCAGGCGCAGTTGATGAATCAAGTCCCGTCGACGAGGATTTTGGGGCGAGCGTCGAGGAGGTACGAGGAGCGAGGGGCCAAGTGGCAACGCCAGGGAGGGCAGTTCTCCTTTGGGTCTGCGAGGGACCGCATTCGGCTGCACCTCCCGGGATCCCGCGACGGCGGCGGCAGTGCCGCCGCTGGCGATGCGCAGGGAAGGGGGTCGCGCTTGGATTTCTGCTCGAGGCAGCACTTCTCGCCGGACCTCCCCGGAGCTCACGAGCGCGGTTGGCTTCGCGGGCCTCGGAGGAGGGGGAGGAGGAGGAGGAGGAGGAGGAGGAGGAGGAGGAGGAGGAGGAGGAGGAGGGGAGGAGGAGGAGGAGGGGGAGGAGGACGAGGAGGAGAGGAGGGGGAGGGGAGGGGGAGGAGGAGGGGGAGGAGGCGTTCGACGCGCAGTTGGCCTCGCGAGCGCCGGCGGCGCGAACGAGTATGAGGAGGAGAGGAGAGCAGCGGCAGGGGGGCGGCGTGCGCTCCGGAGAGGCCGCGGGCGCCGCGGTCACAGCGCGTGCCCCGTGCACGTCCATCTCCTCCTCCTCCTCTCCCCTCCTCTCCTCCTCCTCCTTCCTTCCTCCTCTCCCTCCCTCCTCACTTTGCCCCCCCCCTCCTCCTCCTCCTCTCCTCCTCCTCCTCCTCCTCCTCCTCCTCCTCCTCCTCTTCCTCCTCCTCGCCCCTCCTCCCTCCAACCTTCCTCCCTCCTCCCTCCTCGGCAGAGACGTGGCATACGGGAGAGCTCCCGCTGGGGTGAAGTCAGGCGTGTGCCCCCCCCCACCCCACCCCACAGGAGGAGTACTCACAGGTAGTCCAAAAGCAGTCTGGGGACGACGTGCTGAATCTGCTGTTGTCCAGGTCTGAGCCTTTTTGGCCGTGCTTGATTTGTCCTCCAAGATCCGCCTGTAGCGGGACATGCCCGGCCTAGCATTGGGGCTGCACCACACGCTTGCCGAGGCAGGGGGTCTCTCTACCCCCATCGCTTCTGTTTGCAATTCGTGCAAGGGTCGCCTCGCTCCCCTTGCTGCCAGCGGGTGGCTGGGCAGGCGGCAAAAGAGGTGTTCAATTGCAGTGCGGGCGCCTTGAGGCCGAGCGGGCGGGGGGGGGGAGCAGACAGGCATGGCCACGAGCTCGCGGCAGGCATGAACGCGCGGCGCTGAACAGCATATTCAGATGATGCCAACGCTTAGTTTTGAACACACATGTTCGTATACATCATCATCCTCATCATCAGCATCATCATCATCATCATCATCATCATCATCATCATCATCATCATCATCATCATCATCATCATCATCAGTATCATTATCATTATCATTATCATCAGCATCAGCATCATCATCAGCAGCATCATCATCATCATCAGCATCATCATCATCATCAGCATCAGCATCAGCATCAGCATCAGCATCAGCATCAGCATCAGCATCATCATATTGCTGCCCGCGGCTTTTTGTGGCTCTCTTTCGGGCCGCACTTCCATTCTCAAGCTTCTCAGGTGTCCTGCCCAGGAATGCAGGACCTCGCCCACCATGCTGCGGACGTCCTGAGGTTCGGGGCGCAGGCACTGGGGGCCTCGCTGGTGGCCCGCGCTTCGGCGCCCAGCTGCGGGTCTTGCTCCCCACATTTGGCGTGTCCCGCGCCGCCGACCCTCTCCTGCCCATCCTGCGTGTGCGCGGGCGCGGGCGGGCAGGTGGTCGAGCCCTCGTGCGCGGGCATCGTGGCGGCGTACGCTGTGGCCGCCTGCACGGTCGGGCTCGCCGTCGGCGCTGGTGCAGGCGTCCTCGTGGCTCGTCGTGCACTTGCTCCGCCGCTCGAGCCCACGGGTGGTGAGCTGCCCACGGAGGTGATCGACATCGACGCGCTCGCTGCCGAGCAGGTGAGGCTTGCTCGCTCCCGAGCCCCAGCACTTCAGTGATGGCGGGAGGCTTCCACGCTATTCGCTACCGCGTGGGAGGTGTGGCTTTGTGGCACGAGCGCTTAGTGCTCGGGGTCTCGGCGGGGTTCGCGTATGTCGTCACGCCCGACTTCGACGACTACGATGAGCCGATCGTGGTGGGGCCCGACGTGCGGGCCGTGCTGCCGCTGGCTGGACAGGGCGACACGCCTGCTGCGCTGGTCGGCGCCGCAGTGCATCGATTCAGACGCTTGCCGACGGCCGCGGAGCTGTGGGCTGCCGTGGGTCGCTCCGTGGCCGCGGGGTACCCGATGCCAGCGGACCCTCTTCCTCTGGCTCTCGCGGCGGGCAACGCTGCAGGCGCGCCTCCAGGGCCCTTCCCGCTGGCGGACCCAGCAGCTGCGGCCGCCGCCGTGCCTGCGCCGCCTCTCGCCCTACCACCTGCGGATGGTCCTGCTGCTCCCGTCCCGCCGGGGGCCGCCCCTGGAGTCGCGGCGCTGGCCGCCGCTCTGGGACCCGTGCCACCTGGCCCTGCCGCAGCGCCGCCGCTGGCGCCTGTGCCTGGAGCTGCGGCTGGTGGCGCTCTCGCGGTCGATGCTCTTCCCGTTCCTGCTGGCGACTTCAGGGTGCTGCCGATGGCGGTCAACCAGCGGGGCGAGCGCGAGCGGAGGTTCGGCGAGACGGTGAACGGCCTCTCAGAGACCGAGGTGGTGGGCTGGCCCATCCAGGGCACGCGTGCTCTTCTCTGGTGCTTGTCCTTTATGTCAACCATGGCGGGGACGCCCACCGCGTGGCATCAGCGGTGGCTCACGGCCATGGCCCTGGCCGACGACGACGAGTACGCCAAGCTCCATGAGACCCTCTGTCGGGTCTTAGACCTCGCCGTGGTCTACGACCAACTGCAGGTGGCGGAGATGGCGTCCTTCGAGGTCGTCGCACGTCAGCTTCAGCTGCTGGAGGAACGGGCGCACGAGTCTCGCTCGGCGCCCCCGACGGCTGCCGCGCCCAAGGCCAAGTCTGGAGCCAGGAGCGCCGCGACGGCCACCGCCGTCAGCATGCCCGAGACGAGCTACTTCTTGGGCGCGGGGGTCTCCAAGGCCAACTTGTGCATCTCTCCGAAGCTGCTCGAGTACATCGCAGATCAGATGAAGGCGGAGGCCGCCATCAGCAAAGAACGACGCAAGGCGCGTGAGGAGCGTGCCTTGCGGGCGCCATGATATCTGAGAAGTCCAGGCCTGGCTGTGGGGCGCGCCTCAGTGGCGCCAGCCAGGCACATTGCCCCAGCGCTGCTCATCAAGTTCGGCAGCGTGACGTTTTTCCTCTCCGTCCTATCCCTGTGGAGCGACGATCTGGCATCGCGTCGATGGGTGGTTCAGCCCGCGGACGGGCTGCCAAGGGTGCTGCCTGGAGAGAGTGGTACAACGATGCCGTGTCCACCCTCAACGACATGTACCATTGCGACCCTGATGATATGGTTACTCCGCCTCCAGGTCTTCCTCCGCGCGCTCGTAGCGACGCTGAAGAGTATTTTGCTCAACAGTTTCGTGATTTTGAACTACTTCCTGGATATTCCGAATCTCCGATCAGATGCGAGGCAGCCCTGGCAGAGTTGCTCGCGTCGGCGCCTGGATACTCTGGTGCGTCTCGGGTGAGACCCTACGACAAGGAGCTCGTCTCCTGGCCGAAGCACGTGGCCCCCGTTCCCACGGCCGATCTCGTGTCCGACGCCGATCGTTCAACGTTGTCAGGGTGGAGGCAACAAATGCTACGTGATCCCGCGGAGACAGCTACTCTCAGGAAGGGCTCGGGCATCGGTTCGCCATACGTGGATCCTCGCCTTCGGTTTCGCCCTCGGGAGTATGCTGATTTTTTGCTGCGCTTGGATCAGGCTGGCATGCTAGAGTGGGAGGTCGCCGAACGTCAGGCGCCCTACTCCACAGGCTTCTTCTTCGTCGAAAATCCAATGGGGTCAACCTTCGGCTCGTCTTCGACACGCGGGTTGCCAACATGTCCTTCTCTGCCCCCCCTTCTACGAGATTGCCGACTCCGTCGGCATGGAGTGCACTCGAGGCTTCGGATGACTTCTACGTGGCGCAGGGTGACATCCAGTGCGCATTCTATCACATGAAGTTGCCGCCCCAGCTGCACAGATATTTCTCTCTGCCAGTGGCCCCGAATCGGTACTTGGGTTTCAAGGCGATCAATGGACTGAAGCTCCCCACGAAGGCCTTCTTACAACCGTTTGTGTCTGTGATGCCGATGGGGTGGTCGTGGGCTCTCCACTTTTGCCAGTCAGCCTTAACCACAGCCATGCGCGACTCGGGGATCGACGATGATGCGATGCTGGCAGACGGTTCAGCACCTCGTCCTCTGCGAGACCATGGCGACATCATCGCGGCTGGCTACGTGGATAACTTCGCCACCGTCTCACTCAGTCCAGAAGTTGCCACCGCTTCGTGCCAGGCCATTCGAGACGTGCTGGTTGCTAGGGGCTTACCTGTAGAAGAGTTCGCCCCCGCGGCGCAGCGCGTCACCTTCACTGGCCTCGACATCCTGGGCGACGTCGGCGTCATCAGGTGCAAGGTGGACCGGTTGTCTCGGTTGCGCCAGGCCCTACTTGGGCTACTCAGACGTGGCTTCGCATCTCCGCTTGCGTTGTCCGCCGTGGTCGGGCACTGCACCTGGGGGATGATCACCAACAGGCCCATGCTCTCCATCTTCCACGCAGTCTACCGCTTCATGGGTCAGGACTCGCGTCGGGCTTTGCCGCTGTGGCCGTCAGTCGTCTCTGAGCTCCGTGCCGCTGCTTCCCTCATCCCGTTGTGGTGGGCTGATGTCAGGGCAGAGTGGGCGGCCACCACCTTTTGCAGCGACGCCTCTCCATACGGCATTGGCGTGCGTCGCAAGTTCGTGGAACAAGAGGTCGCTGCTGCCGCAGGTCGACTGTCTGAGAAATGGCGCTGCCGCTTCTCCGATGCCGTGCGCGCCCGCGCCCACGCTCTGGGAGTCGACCCGAACGTCGCGTTGGAAGCTGCCGTGAGCAAAAGAGGCCTCAAAGACTGCGAGCAGTGCCCGAGGCCTCCCGAGGCCCAAAGCAAGCCCTCGCCCACCGCATCATCATCACCTCGAGGGCTCGACGAGATCTCGCTGGACGGCTTCGACGAGGTTCCCGACTCGATCACGGCTTCCGACGGCTGGTCTACGATATATAGCGCACGGCATTCGAGGTTCGGTTTGGACATCATGCGATACGAGGCGGAGGCCCTCGGATTTGCGATGCGACACTCGTCTCGGTCTGGACGGCTTCGACATCATCGCATCCTGTTCACCGTCGACAATTTGGCTCTAGCCCTTGCTGCTGGCAAGGGGCGTTCTGGTGCCCGAGGGCTTCGCGATCCACTACGACGCCTCTGTGCTCTGTCCGCAGCTTCCGGCATTCGCCACGCTGCGCGATGGATCCCTAGCGAGAGCAATGCCGCAGACTCGCCGTCGAGGACAGGTTTCTTTGTCGGGCCGACCTTCGAGGAGCACCAAGCGGCTGCACCCCGAGTTTCGGCGCCAGCGAGCCACGACCGTGACGGAGCAGAGGACCAAGACGCATCCAGGACCACAACGGCTCGGGCGGGGTGTGCTCTCGGTCCTCGAGTCAGCTGCCGTGTCGGACACAACCATGGCCAACTACTGGGGCGCCGCCAAGAAGTTCGAGGAGTGGTGCCGCTGGACGTCCCAGACCTTCACCACGGCGGCGGAGGTCGATGTCATCCTAGTTACCTACTTCGTGAACCTCTTTCTGGACGGCTTCGACAGTGCTACAGGCCGAGTCCTGCTCGCCTCCTTGAAGCACTACCTGCCTTCGATCCTGGTGGGCAGGACGCCGTGCCCGCGTGCAGCTCGCGCCTTGACAGGCTGGCGGAAGCTCGTGCCCCCGCAGATGCGACTACCCCTTCCACGGGCGGCGATGGCCTCCATCGTGGGCGTCCTCATCTCGTGGAAGCTCTTCGGCATGGCAGTGTTCATCAGGCTGATGTTCGACACCTACCTGAGGCCCAGCGAGGCCTATCGGCTAACAGCGGGCAGCGTTATTCGACCAAGACCCGATGCCGCCCGCGGGCACGGACATTGGGCCCTGATCGTCAACGACGCCTGCCTCGATCGTCCTGGGAAGACAGGGGAGATGGACGAGAGCGTGATCGTCGACAACCCGACGCTCTGGCCCCTTCTCGACGCGCTGGTGCTGGGCAAGAAGACGAGCGACGGCCTCTGGACCTTCGCCCCCGACGAGGTGCGGAGCATGTTCCGTCGTGCTGCCGCTGCGCTCGGGTTGGAAGCCGAGATGACGCTCTACTCCCTTCGGCATGGGGGTGCGTCCGACGACCTCCTGTCTCTCCGACGCACCAGGAAGGAGGTCAAGGACCGCGGCCGATGGAGGACGGACCAGAGCCTCCTCCGCTATGCCAAGAGGGCTCGTATGCAGCAGCGGATCGCCACCCTAGGCCAGAACTTGATCGACTTCGGGCACGCGGTCGACTCGCAGATGAACGATCTCATTCTGCAGACCTCCTCCTCAGGCGTCTTCCCGCTGCAAGTGCCGCTTGCCGTGACGCCGACACCGCCAGCGGTCAGGCCTCCGCCTCCGCGAGTGACAGCGCGGTGGGCCTTCGCCTGACGAGGATTTGGCGTGCAGCCAGGCGTGCTGCGACGCGGTCCAGGCACTCGCCCGCCCTAGTAATCGGCGGCGACGGCGGCGCGGCTCGCGCTCTGCAGCGCCTCGGCTTTGGCGTGCTGCACTTGAAAGTGAGACGCCATGTTACTGATGACATCACAGATCCTTTAGTGATGAAGCGCGTGCTCGGATGGATTCGTGCAGGCTGTATCTCGCGCGCGTGGGTGGAGCCCGACACGACTACGTGGCTCCCTCAGAAGCCCGCTGTCCGTAGCAAAGCTCGAGCCAACGGCCTGCCGAGTCTGTCCAGTGCCCAGCTTCGATCAGTTGCCATTGCGAATCTGTTTCTCAGTCATTTTGTGCGCCTTCTGTCAGTGTGTAGCGACAATAAGGTTCCAGCCGCTCTGTGTCATCCAGATGCGTCTTTCATCTGGGATGTCCCTTCTTGCAAAGCTATAGTTAGCCAATGTTCGTCTGCTGCCGTTTTCGATGCATGTATGTTCGCTGGCCGTATAAAGAGAAGATTTCGATTAGTGAGCTGGCATGTACAAGACATGAGTTCTCTTTCTGCTATCTGTTCGCCGGCCGACTCGCGTTGCTGCCGATCTGGGAAACGGCATCTTGGCGAGCTCGGCATCCCATCTTTAGATCGGCAGGTACGCAGCAAAGCGCTGCGGCTCCCCGCTAATGTTCTAAGATGCGCCTGCGACAGGATGGCTCTCAGTGTTGATTCGCTTCGCTACATTGCTCGGCAGATCAGAGCTGTGTGAATTCAGTTAATGCGGCTTTCAAGCCAGTGGGATGGGCTAGCCTAGGTACCTGGTGCATCGCGACAGCATGCGTCCGCTGTCCTCGCCTGTTGCCGAGTCCTTTGCACAAAAAGATAGCCCCTGGCCTCCAGAGTTGCCCACATATTGCTGCCCGCGGCTTTTTGTGGCTCTCTTTCGGGCCGCACTTCCATTCTCAAGCTTCTCCCGCCCGCCCTGTTTCCCGCTCTAGAATGTTTTACCTGGTGCATCGCGACAGCATGCGTCCGCTGTCCTCGCCTGTTGCCGAGTCCTTTGCACAAAAAGATAGCCCCTGGCCTCCAGAGTTGCCCACATCATCATCATCATCATCATCATCATCATCATCATCATCATCATCATCATCATCATCATTATCATGATCACTATCATTACCATTATTATTTGTATTATTTATTATTATCATTTTTATTATTAGTATTATTATTTTAATTATTATTTTACGTAACGGCGCACCAGATTCGGGGGCCGAGGACTGGAACCTCGACCGCAGATGTGGGCCCGGGGGCCAGGGCCCGCCTTTGGGAGGCCTAGAATCGCACCGGGGAGCCCTCAGACAGCAATCCCGGCGGCCCCAGACGGTCTCGAGACACCCCCAAGACGCCGTCCAGGGGTCTCTGGCGACGCACGATGCGTTTTAAACTGCTCGGAGGCCCCCACGACGCCTTAAGAGGCCTTTAAGATGCCGCTTAAGAGCGCCCCGAGAGGGCAAACTCGTTGATTGTCATGTGTTTTTTTCTATGTTTCTTGCATTCTCGCTCTCTCGTGTTTCCAGCGCTAAAGCACCGCACAAGAGGCTCCCAAAACCGCTCCAAGACGGCCCAAGAGGCCCCCACGAGGGCCCCAAGACGGCCCAAGAGAGCCCCGAGACGGCCCCAGAACCGCCCAAGACGGCGCAAGAGGGTCCCAAGAAGGCTCCAAGAGGGGCCCACGAGAGGGAATGCGAACTGAAAATTCTTCACGCTTCGCGTATCCCCACCAGCCCATCTCAAAACAGCAACTCTTGCGAAACATGCCGACAGTCGTGTTTTTCAGGCGTGTTTCCGCCTGCCCCCGCATATCTCCGGGCCTCTCGTCCTGGTGTGAGTCGTTCGGGTCTTCCCGTTGGTGTGAGTCGTTCGGGCTCTTCGTCGTGGTTTGAGTCGTTCGGGCTCTTCGTCCTGGCGTGAGTCGTTCGGGCTTCTCGTGGTGTGAGTTGTTCGGGCCCTTCGTCCTGGTGTGAGTCGTTCGGGCTCCTCCTCCTGGTGTGAGTCGTTCGGGCTCCTCGTGGTGTGAGTCGTTCGGGGCCCTCGTCCTGGTGTGAGTCGTTCGGGCTCCTCGTGGTGTGAGTCGTTCGGGCGCCTCGTCCTGGTGTGAGTCGTTCGGGCCCCTCCTCCTGGTGTGAGTCGTTCGGGCTCTTCGTGGTGTGAGTCGTTCGGGCGTCCTGGTGTGAGTCGTTCTCGTGGTGTGAGTCGTTCGGGCGTCCTTCGTGGTGTGAGTCGTTCGGGCTCTTCGTGGTGTGAGTCGTTCGGGCCCCTCGTCCTGGTGTGCGTCGTTCGGGCTCCTCGTGGGGCCTCTTGGGGGCCTCTTGGGGCCTCTTGGGGCCTCTTGGGGGCCTCTTGGGGGCCTCTTGGGAGCCTCTTGGGGGCCTCGTGGGGCCTCTGGAGGCCTCTTGGGGGCCTCTTGGGGGCCTCTTGGGGGCCTCTTGGGAGCCTCCTGGGGGCCTCTTGGGGCCATCTCGGGACCTCGTGCGAGCTGCTCAGAAGCGCAATGGAGGGCTGCCCCCTGAGAAGGACAAAATGAGCCCAAAACCTTCGTAAAATCAATGATTTTGCTATGAAGGACGAGGGGCGCTGCCCCCTCAGAAGGCCAAAATGGGGCCAACACCCTAGTAAAATCAATGTTTTTTACTTCAACGACGAGTTCAGGCGCCAAACTCCCTCCCCCCCCCTCGGGGCCAGAATCCTCGTGAGGGTCGTCGTTTTTTGGCCCTCCCAGGAGTCGAAAAAAGACCACTCCAACGACCCGCGGGGCGCCCTCTCCAGGCCCAGGGAGAGGGGGTAGGGGGAGGGGTAAACCCCTCCCCGAAGGGGAAGAAGGGGGGTTGAGAACAGAGAGGGCTCGCTAAACCACTCACGCCCAAAGGGCTGGTGGGATTCAAGCTCTCCTCCCCAAGATGCCCCCAAGAGGCCCCCAGAGGCCCCCAGGAAGCCCCCAAGAGGCCCCAAGAGGCCCCCAAGAGGCCCCAAGAGGCCCACAAGAAGCCCAAAAGAGGCTCCAAGAGGCCACAAGACGGCACCCAAAAGGCTTCAAAACTCTTTCTAAGAGTCTCCCGAAGACTTGCCAAGAATGTCCCATGACGGCTTCAAGAAGCAGTCCAGGATGCTCCGAGGAGGCCCCAAGAGGCCCTCAAGAGAGCCAAAGAGGCCCCCAAGAGGCCCCCAAGCGGCCTCGAGCAGCATCCAGGAGGCCGGAAAGAGGCCCCCAAGAAGCCAGCGGTCCAGACGGGGGCCGAACAAACATTTCCAACCCTGGGCTCCCGGAAGCCCAATAGGAAGCCCCACGTAACTCGCGAGACCCCCCCCGACGCTCCCGAGACGCCCAAAAGGCTTCCCTGGCAGTCCAATATGCATTAACAACAAAACAAACAACTGCGATGCCCAGGGGTGCGTTTGGACAAGGAGTTCGAGACCAAGCCAGCCTTGGCCACGAAGAGCGCATCGGAGGCGGAAAGGAGGTTCATTTGGTTGCGGGAAGGGGGGTCATCTAGCTAGCTAGAACTTGAGCGCGCGCGAAGCGCGCGCGATGGTTCTATGATATATGTATACAAACATATGCACATGCGTGCACTCTTATATCTGCTTGTGGGTAGGTACAGCATACATGCGAGTGCTCCTGTGCCAAAGTGTGATGGCATGCGGGTAGGGGCGTGCATGACCACGAGTTCGCGGGAGGCATGCACGTGTGGGACTGAACATATTGGTTGGGGAGCGCCCGTACAGCATGTTCATATGATTCGTTGTGTACAGATATGTATACAGACGTACGCATACAAGCATATGCGCACACGTGTAATCTTACATGTGTCTGTGGGTATGTATGTGCCACAGTGTGGTGGCATGCGGGTGGGGGCATGGAGGATGGCTGTCGCCAAGCACAGGTACAGGCTGACTTAGTGCGGGAGACTGATCGGGATAGGGATCTGGAGCAGGGGGCCAAGACAGGAGGGTAAGGCGGAGAGGGGGGGGGCAGAGAAAATCGCGGGCAAAGTGGCGGTATAGGAGATGAACGCGAGAAGGGGGCATGAGAGAAGAAGGAGGGACGGGGGCTGGGCACGGGAGATGGCGGGACCGCGGGCGGGCGGGATGGTGATGGAGTCGGGGCAGAAGGTGGGGCCTGCGTTTTCGCTCAGAGTGGCCCCGTGCTGGATTCTTGCGGCGGACACATGGGGCTCGGGCTCGGGCTGGGAGTGGCAAGGGAGAGGGACGGTCGGGTGGATGTGGAACGGGCGGGCGTGGAGTGGTGCGTGAGCGGCAGTGGGGTGCGCGAGCGGCGAGCGGCGCAGGTGGCAGTGGGGATGGTCCGACGAAAAGAAGGCGCACTGCTGCCAGCACGAGCAGGTCGGCTGCACGGCCGCGCTCCCCCGCCGCAGCCGCTCCCCGCCCTGCAGAGGGGGGGCGAGCGGGGGGGGGGGGGGCAGGCGGGGGGGGGGGGGGGGGCGGGCAGGGCTGCCCTGGGAGGGGTGCCCCGGGCTGGAGGGCCGGAGGAGGAAAGGGGGGGGATGGCAAATAAAGGCGAGGCGAGGGGGAGGAGGAAGGGGGGGGATGGGAAATAAAGGCGGGGCGAGGGGAAGAGGGGGAGGGGCCTGGGATGGAAAGGGGGGGGCGCCGAGGAGCGACGAGGGATCGGGCGGCGGCCGGGTCTGGCGCGGGGCGCCCGATCTCCGACGCCGTGGAGCGGGTTGTCTCGAGTTCAGGGGGCCGGGAGGGCGGGGGCGCTTTGGGCTTTCGGGGCCCCCTGCAACTCCAGGAGGAGAGGAGGGGAGATGTGAGGAGGAGGAGGAGGAGGAGGAGGAGGAGGAGGAGGAATACGAAGAGGATGATGGGGAGAAGGAGAAACAAGCAAATTAATAGCAGGAGGAGGAGGACGTGGAGGACCCGGTGGCGCGGTGAAGGCGGGGGCGGAGGAGAAAGTGCTGAGGAAGAGGATAATGATGAGGAGGAGCAGCAGCAGCAGCAGCATGAGGAGGAGCAGGAGGAGCAGCAGGAACGGCATGAGAAGAAGCAGCAGGATGAGGACGAGAAGGACGAGGGGCATGATTCAGCTGAGGAGGGCGTGGAGACGGGGCGGGAAGAGAAGGAGCGAGGGCGAGGAAGATGAGAACGCGGAGGGGTTCAAGAGCTCCAGAGCACCGCCGCCGTCACCATGATTCTAGGACGGCGGCCGCCTGCGACGGGGGGGGCGGGCGGGAGAGAGAGAGAGAGAGAGGGAGAGAGAGCCTCCTCCTCCTCCTCCTCCTCCTCCTCCTCCTCCTCCTCCTCCTCCTCCTCCTCCCCCTCCTCCTCCTCCTCCTCCTCCCCCTCCTCCTCCTCCTCCTCCTCCTCCTCCTCCTCCTCCTCCTCCTCCTCCTCCTCCTCGCGGCGCCCCGCGGCTGCTCCGCGGCGCCCGCCGCGGCCGAGGGAGCGCGGCCGCTGCGAGGCACCGCCTGGGGGCGCGCCGTCCTGCGGGTGTGTGCTGGGCCGTCGCCGAGAGCAGGGAGAGGGGCCCATGGAGGAGGAGGAGGAGGAGGAGGAGGAGGAGGAGGAGGAGGAGGGGGAGGGAAGAGGAGGAGGAGGAGGAGGGAGGGGAGGAGAGGAGGAGGAAGGAGGAGGAGGAGGAGGGGAGAGTGAGATGAAGGAGAGGAGGAGGAGGAGGAGGAGGAGGAGGAGGAGGAGGAGGAGGAGGAGCAGCAGGAGAAGGGGGAGGAGGAGCAGGAGCAGGAGCAGGAGGAGGAGGAGGAGGAGGAGGAGGAGCAGGGGGAGGAGGCGATGCGGGGCGGCACGCGCACAGGGGCGAGCTCACCCAGGATGGGGCTGGCAGGGAGCCGCGTACCAGAGGCGTTTTGGAGCTCTTCCAGTGCCGCTTCCGCCAGAGGAATGGGTCCTTGACGTCGACCTCCCTACCGCCGACGCCGCTGCCACCGCCTGCCTTCTATTTTGACGTTGGCTGCCGCGACTGTTGCTGACGTCGGTGCGCCCGCAGCTGTGTGCGGAAGTAACCCAGCACCCGTATAATAAAGCATTCCCCATTTAACCCCTGAGAGTTGATCACCCCATGCCAGGACAGAGTTGGTCGGGGGAAAGGGGCGGCGAGGCAGAACTTCGCTATCGCTGGGTAAAGTACGTTGCGAGCTTCTCATGTTGAGTAGCAGAACTCTCACGAGCGCGTGGCAGGGCAATGGGATTCCCATCATTTCAGTTTTCCCAGTTCACGAACTCAATAACTCACGGGCGAGTTGTCGGTACAACAACTTCTTATCCCCCCGAATCCCGAATTTATTATCCCCAACCTGTGGCTATCATGGGCTTAGGGTTACTGAGCGCACTTGAGGATCAAGAGCGTGCCTTGCGCTCAGCCGGTGAGAACTTCACGTACTTGGGGATCAAGAGGTGTCCTCACGCGGGCATACGCGCGTCCTTTTTCTGATGCGGATCAGAGTGAGGTGGCAGCGTTGGTCGTCAACAGTCTGCGGGGCTCTGCAGAAGCCCGCCGCGGGCGCCGATCTTTGAACGCACTTCACGATGAACCTACCGCAGGCGCCGAAGTTTCGTCAAAGCAAGGTGGGTGGGTCGCGGGAGAGGCCGCGGGGTGGGTCACGGGCTGCTCGCGGGTGACGGCGATGACAACAGCAATTATATCAACAAGAACAAGAACAACAACAACCGTTTTAATCTTGTTCGCTCTTATCTGCTCGCGTGCATCTCAACACGTATGCCCCACACCCTCGATGCTTGCCTTGCTTGTCTTCGATCGTACCCCTTTGGGGGTATATATCTTTCTTACCGGCAACGTGTATTTCGTGCAGCCCCTAAGACAGGGGGAGAGAGGACGGATGGAAGGAAGGGTCAGGGGGGAGGGAGGAGGATGGAGCACGATAGAGAGTAACATGAGGGGTGCTACGAGCAGAAAGCACGTGGCAGAACCAAAAGGGCAGATCGGGCGGACAGACCCTAACGGGCGGGTCGGGAAGGCGAGCCCAGACGGCCAGGTCGGGCAGGCGGGTTGCTGAAGCGTGCGTTCTGCATGAATCGCGAGGAGAGCTCGGGCGATAACGGGATTCCCAAAATAAATTCCGGAAACCCACAAGGAGAGCGTGATTATTGAGTGTCGAAGGCGCGGCGTCTGAATACAATTTGAGGCAGTCCCTTGCGAGAGCGCGACTCCTGCTCACATTTTGAGGAAGTCCCGCGCGAGAGCGCGATTTGGGAATGAATTGCGGGGAAGAAGTATCACGCGGGAGCCGTTGTTGTTGTTGTAAACCAGAAGCCAGGGGTGCAGTTCGGTGACACATCATTCTTTTTTGTCAAAAAAGGGTGCGAGCCCCAGGAGAAGCACATTCATTGATTGAAACAATGCATGGTTACAGGGTTGGGCAGCCAAACATATTAATTCTGAATCAATGGGATGCCAACGATCATTTGAAGATTATTCGTTCTTATCTGCCCGCGTGCGAGTCAACACGTATATCCCAAGCCCTCGATACCGGCTTTCGTCGTTTTTGATCGTACCCGTTTAGGGGTCTATCCATCTTCCTTGCAACGTGTATTTCGTGCAGCCTCTAAGGCAGGGGGAGAGAGGACGGATGGACGGAGGGGACAAGGGGCAGGCGGGTTGCTGAAGCGTGCGTCTCGCATGGATCGCTAGGAAGTCACGAGCGATGGCGCGATTCAAAGAAATCGTGAGGAAGTCCACAAGGAAAGCGTGATTCCTGAGTGTCGAGGGGGCGGCGTCTGAATACATTGCGAGGCAGGCGGGAGCCGGTGGTGTTGTTGTTGTAGTTTGGGGTCCAACAGCGCAGTTAGGTGACCCGTCGCCATCCCTTGTCAAGAACAGGGTGCGGTCCCCTGGAGAAGCACTTCAATGAGCCCCTGGAGAAGCACTTAAATTGAAAATTGCGATGGCTACCTTGCAGTGGGGATCAACAATACTTATTCTTTACAAATGAGAGTTCAACAACAACGACAACAACAAAGCAAACACAACCACAACAACAACCACAACAACCACAACAACCACAACACCAACAACAGCAATACCGCAACAACCCCGCAGCAACACTCCGCACCGAGGAAACCCCTTTCAGCCACGCGCCCTGGGACAGTGAATGACCGTTCGGCTCCCTCAGTCTGACCTCTGATGCCAACAGGACGTTTGGGGTCGGCGGGCATCCTGAGGTGTAGGTGCCGAGAAGACCCGATTGCCACAGGTAAGGGCAGATGCGAAGCCTTCATCTTTCCACCTCGACCCTCTTCCAGCCCCACCCCTCCACACATCTCACCCGTACTTTCCCCTCCCCTTTGGGATTAGCATGGGCCACGCGCCATGCGGCTCTTGCTATCATCGCCTCGCCGCCGAGGCCAATGCAACGATGTCGGCCACGGCGTCTGGCCCCACCACTGCAGCTGGCAGCGAGGAGATCCGGCCGCGCTGCTCGGAAGCCGGGCAAGGGTTGCTAAATCCGTGGCTGCTAAATCGACCTCCGGGAAGTTGTCTTCGTCCTTCCGGGAAGAGGCCCGTTGACTGTTTCGCGTGCCGCGCCTCATTCCGGGAAGTTGTTTTTTCCTTCCGGGAGGGCCGTTTTAGCAGCCACGGTTTTAGCAGCCCTCGCCCAGCTTCCGATCTTGCTCGGCACTGCCCCGTGCCTGGAGAGTAGCGATTGTAGTCGCCGCTCCGCCAGTGTCCTGTCGGCGGAGGGCGCGGCTCGCTCCCTCCGCCCCCCTTTTTCGGCCGCGTCCTCCGCCCCCTCCCCCTCCTGCATGGTGGCGCAGTGCGCTCCACCGGCACCCCCGTCTCGGCCTTCTCCGCCAGCGCAGACGGCCCCCGTAGCCTCGCCGCCGACGCAAACAGCGTGTGTCCTGTCCACCTCGCCAAGGGGGGCGACGCCGCCCGCCCCCCTCGACGGGAGGCGCAGCCGGGTATCGAGGAGCATCGGACCGCCTGAAGGCCACCTGAGACCAGCGGGGGGCAATCAAGAGGTTTTCGGAAGCCTCCAGGAAAGCTCCCCCCCTTCTACTGCGCCCTTCCCCCCAGGGCCTAGGGACAGCGCGTCTCTTCGGCAGCACTCCCAGTTCCAAAACACCTCTCCTCCTTGTCCTTCTTTTCCTCCTCCTCCTCCTCCGCCTCCTCCTCCTCCTCCTCCGCCTCCTCCTGCTCCTCCTCCTCTTCATCCTTTTCACCACCCTCTCCCTTTCTCCCCTTCAGTGGACCCCAGAGGGCCCCCAGGGACCACCAACTTCCTTCATCGACCTCCAAGGGCTTCGAATGGAGCCTGCAAGGACCTCCAGGGGACCCCAAGGGGCCTCGGGAACACATCGACCCGAGGAGGAGGGGGAGGGGGAGGAGGAGGAGGAGGACGAGGAGGAGGAGGAGGCGGTGCTGTTGCTGCCGCTGCCGCTGCGGTCCGTCTCCTTTGTCTCTGACCCTTCCTCGTCCTCCCGCCTCCCTCCTTCTCTTCTCCGTGTCTGTCGCAGCTTTTGGGCACCCGGGTGGTCTTTGGCTTTCACCCGGGTGCTAAAAAACACTTCCTTGATGGGCACGTCCCCTTGTCATTTTCCCCCCGGCCGCTCGGCCGATACCCTTGGCCCTGGTGGCCTGGTACCGGGGCCGCAGATACAGACGAGGAGGATGAGGAGGCGGAGTAGGAAGAGGGAGGGGGGAAGGGGGAGGAGGACGAGGAGGAGGAGGAGGAGGAGGAGGAGGAGGCGGAGAAAGAGGAGGAGGAGGAGGAGGAGGAGGAGGAGGAGGAGAAGGGAGGAGGAGGAGGGCGAAATAGGAGATGGAGGGGGGGAGGAGAGATGAGGAGGAGGAGGTGGAGGAGGGGAGGAGGAGGAAGAGGAGGAGGAGGAGGAGGAGGAGGAGGAGGAGGAGGAGGAGGAGGAGGGCAGGAGGAGGAGGAGGAGGAGGAGGAGGGGGAGGCGGAGGAGGAGGGGAGATGCAGGAGGAGGAGCAGGAGGAGGAGGAGAAGGAGTTGGAGGAGAAGCCGGAGGATGAACGGGAGGAGGAGGAGGAGGAGGAGGAGGAGAAGGAGGAGGAGGAGGAGGTGGAGGAGGAGGAGGAGGAGTTGGAGGACGACGACGACGACGACGACGAAGGGGATCGGAGATCTTGGGCAGGAGTCGCAGGTCCCTTAGTGGCTGCAGCGCCCCGCTTAAGGTCCCGTGCCGCCGTCCCCCATGCCCGCCCAGCGCCCACTGGTACGATCGACATGGGTACGGAAATAATGGGTGCGAAAACCCACAGTTCGCCATGGGGAAACGGGTCCTGAGGGTCTTTCGCAGTTTTCGGGTCCGTCGGGGCCCTCCACGGGCCCCAGAAGTGTCAGAGCACAGGTCTGGATGAAGAACTCGTCTTGGGGGAAGGCCCCAGGGTCCAGGACCCGTTTCCCTCAGGACTCATTTCCCCCATGCTAATACAGCAGTTCCTGTCCTTTCGGGAATAGGGCTCGCTGTCGGCGTCGCCGCGGATGTGGTCCATTTGAGACAGACCGCCGCTCGCCCAACAGCGGCCGCTGTTCGGCATCGTGCACAGTTTGTCCGTATCCATTTCGGGCGTCCAAAGACCAGTGGGAGCCTCCGTCTGAGCAGGAGGGTTCCGCCTGAGCCTGAGGGAAAGAGTGAAGTAGTGAAGAGAATGGGATTAGTGTTCCAGGCCTCGCAACTGGGTCCCGAGCCGACGCGGTCGGAGGATCGTCTCGCATCGCCGATGCATCGCCGATGCCTCCCGATTTTGGGCCCGACTTTCTCCGCGCCGACGTCGCCGATGCACCGCCGATACGGCACGACCCTCTGGCCCCATCTCGTCGGCGAGCGAGGGCGGGAAGCGAGAAGGGGTGGGCCCCCCCAAAAGGCTCAGAAGTCCCCCTGGCCTTCCGAGAAGTTTTCTAAGCCTTCCCCAAAGACCCCAACAAGCCTTCCAGAGGCGCGGGGTTTCCGAGAAGTCCCGCCGCCCACTCTCCCCTTCGCTCGCCGCCGACCATCGTCTCGGACCCCTTCAGAAAGCCTTCCGATGTACACCTTCCCGGGATCGCTGCCCACGTGCAGGGCGTGCTGGCCCTTTCCCCGGCTCGCCCGGAGGGCGCCGCAGACGGGCGGCACGTCCGCAACAAGTCCTGCGGTGGGCAAGGTCTGAACCTTACGTCGGTCACTGTGGTTCGCTTTCCACAGTTCGTGATAGAAGGGATGGGGTCTCAACTCAGGAAGACAAGTATCGTGTTGGGAGGATGGGGTAGAGAGAAATGAGGCGATCCTTACCCGTAGGCGGCCGAAGATATCGTTCATTGCATCCTGATGCTATTGCTCAAGCCCTCCATGCTGCCAGCCCCGTCCTCCCAACGAGCTAATGTGTCTCATCAACAACTGTCCCAGACGGGCAGTTTTAGTCCCCCCACCCGACCAGCCATGAACAGGCGACCTTTGGCCCCCCCGACCAACCTGGAGCCCTTTCAGACCGTTCAAATCAGACCCCCCCTAAGCAGACCCCTCCTCTACATGATGAAATCAGAAGTCCCAAATCATGGGGGCCTTGCATGTCTTCGCAATTCCATCTTTAGAGCGCACTCGTGTGTGTGTGTGTTTGTGTGTGTGTGTGTGTGTGTCTGTGTGTGTGTGTGTGTCTGTGTGTGTGTGTGTCTGTGTGTGTGTGTGTTGTGTGTGTGTGTGTGTGTGTGTGTGTGTGTGTGTGTGTGTGTGTGTGTGTGTTTGTGTGTGTGTGTGTTTGCGTCTGGGAATCGATGGCACAGCTCCCATACAGCGTCGATTAGCGTCGAGTTGGCGTCGAGTAGCGTCCCGTAGCGTCGGTCAGCCTCGATTCGAAGGTCCCAACAAGACGGCACGGGAGCTCCCATGATTCGCCACCGACTTGTGGAGAGAAGTGCGTCACCTGGGATATTGTCGTGAACTGTTTGATAGCGTGTCGCTCCGCCGCGTCTGGCCCACCAAGCCTCGGCGCGACACGCCATCCACAGGTAGAGGAGGAGGTGGAGGAGGAAGATGGGGAGGAGGAGGAGGGGAGGAGGAGGAGGAGGAAAGAGGAGGAGGAGGAGGAGGAGTGGGAGGACGAGGAGGAGGAGTGGG